GTACCTACTTTTAGTGAACTGTTAAGAATTTTGAATACGCCACTTGGACCTTCCTACAAAATGGAAAAACCCACTATCACATTTTCTGTGGAATAAGTTTAGAAGGTAATTATCTAGTCAATTACTGTCGTAGATTCCTGGAATTAAAGAATTAAATGTTTGATTGTTGAAACCCTTACTTCGTGGAATGCACTCATTTCAGATAAAATAAAACGTTTTATTTTATCTAAAGAATTAAACTTTATTTTGCAAATAGGTAGGTACTTATTAAACTTTTATTGGTTATATATAACCAATAAAATAAACATCTTACATTTCTTGCAAATTCATTAGTACCTGTTAACCTCCATCAGTCCGACACTGGCAACCTTATTTAGGGATTAGTAACCCTCACAACTATTGTATTCTATTCTGCTCCAACCTTTATACCTGGTGGCCATACTCAATTTAAAATTGTTTTCCTATATACTTCTGTAAACTTGTTGACAAATATCTGTTTTTCATTGAGTCACCCGTATCAACAGTTCAGGGATTTGCATATATAATTTATTGTTTTATTACTCTCTCATACATAAAAATTCACTATAGTAGGTATCATCCTACTACGAGTACTCTTCTATCATATTATTTCGTTGATGTAAAGGCGAAACTGGTTTGTTACTAATTGATTTTTAAGAACATCCTTTTTATTTTTAGATTTGATTTGACACGATTTGTAAAAAAAAAGTTACAACCTTATGATTCATCAAGAACTTATTGGACGTATAGCCCAGTCTGGTTATGCAAAAATCATCGATTGCATGGCAAAATTTTTCGCAGATATCTGAAGCTTTTAATACAGTTATATAGTTGGGGGTAGATGACGAATAGATGAAAAGTACTCGTAGTTTTACCTTTTAAACAATAATTTATGGTCACAATTAATATTAACAAAATAAAATTTTAATACATCTGAACATCGAGGAATTACCATCTTTTAAATTTGTGCGAAATTTCACCATGATCGGTCAAATAGTTTAAAAGTTTTTACTTGTAATAAACAGTTTCATCCAATTTTTCGAAACTTACAGCCCTGGAGGTATTTTCGAAAGATCGAGATAGGAAAGTGGATGGGATAACTCAAATTGAAACACGTAGGAAAAATCTACATTATTTCGGCTTCCATTGCAGATAGAAGCCTATTTTTTTAATCTGGGGTAGCTCGTCGAAATATGAATAACTACATAGTTTTCACTGGCCGGGAAATATGGGAAACCTCGGAAAAATTGAGTCCATTTGAAATTCACCGTAAAAACTTACTTTTTTAAATTTGGCTGGAATAGTCCGTCGCTATATATTAATAATGATGACATAATTTTCACCCCCCTCCCGGAAATCTCGGAAAATCCCGGAAGATCAACGTATATATATTTTTTTCATTTTATTCCAATGATGTAATAATACTTATATATTTTATAAATTAAAGTTCAGGTAATTTTTTACACGTTATATTATTATATTTCTTTTAGTAATTATAACTAAGTATTTACTAATATGACGATCTATACGTTTATATTATGTGTATAGGTATATGTACAGTACGAGGACGGTTTTATTTATGTTTTTAGATCTAAATATCTCCAAAGATCACAGAGTATACCGTCCTCGTGTTCCTACATTTTATATGTATTCATATGAATAGAAGAAAAATCATTTATATAATACAAAATCGGAAATATATCATAGTATGCGTAAAAAAGGCGGGATGAGTAGCAGCTGTCTCGCTCCAAAATTTCGTCAAAATAGTCCCTAACTTCGATCCTATTGGTCATAGGTTTTTTCAATGTGAGTTTTTTACCAGCTATCCAATAGTGGTACGTACAAGTCTGTAGCTTGAAAAATATAGGTTATTACAATTTTTTATAAGCAAAAAACATACCCCTTTTTCAAAGTTTATTTTGTAAACAATTTCGATGAAAACGCAATATGTATTTAACTGTCGAGATAGTTCAAGTCTTAAAGAATCCTATGAAATTTGCTAAATGTGTCTAGCATCATTAATAGTTTAAATATTTAGCTTCATGGATAAATAAATTAACTAACTTTTAAACTATTTGACCGATCGGGTGAAAATTTCGCTCAAATTTAAAAGACGGTAATTCATCGATGTTCAAATGTATTAATAAATTTAATTTTGTTAATAAAAAAATTAATAAAATTCATAACTGAGTGCAAAAAACTGCTTTTTTGCAAATATCTCCGTAAATTATTTATCAATTTTAATTTAAAAATCGGGAAAATAAAGATATTCTTTATTTTCCCGATTGTGATCATAAATTATTGTTAAAAAAACGCAAGATAAAAATACGGGTAATTTTTTATGTTCTCGTCATCCGCCACCTATGTATGTCTTAAAAGCTTCAGATATCTGCGAAACATTGTTCGACCTTTTTTAACCAGACTGGGCCTGTACATTTTTTGTTTTTTTTTTGTAGTAGTTGAAATTTTAAAGTATCTTACACATGAGTATTGCGTTAATTATAATTTTTAATATTACTTGTCATTTTTAGTTTTAATTTGTGAAGTAGGTATAGATAAGAATAAATGATAGGGTACAGATATATACAAATTAATTATTACTTATTATATTAATTATAGACAACTGATTATTAATTTTTGCCGTGGAAAAATACTCGTTTTTAGGATAAAACTATAAAAATGTACAAAAATTTTATTTGCGTAATCTATTTTCCTCTTTTTAAATGTCTTGGTATATGCCGACGATCTGGTTCCATTTGCAAAGGGCAAGAATATGAGAATGATTCAAAAACACTTACAAGAATCTATTTATAAATTGAAGATATGGTCAATGTCAGTAGGCGTGCAATTCTCCCCACTAAAAACAAAATGCATGTTTTTCTCAAGAAGGCACCGGCCACAGAGAGAACATCTTTAAAACTGTATGGCGAGCCGCTCAAATTCTCAGAAAAAATTAATTTTCTCAGAATGGTATTTGACCAAAAACTAACATGGAAACAACATATTTTAGAAATAAAAAAGTCTTGCCAAAATGGATTAAATGTAATGAAAACATTATCAAATAAAAAATGGGGATCCGACGAAACCACGTTATTAAATATTTATAAGTCACTCATTAGATCAAAAATAGATTATGGGGCTATTGTGTATGCCTCCGCTAAAAAAACATGTTACCAAGCAACTTGAAGTCATTCAGAACACAGCACTTCGCATTGCCATAGGTGCATTTAGAACAACACCAGTTAAGAATCTCCAATGCCTCACAGGAGAGCCACCTCTTAATCTACGAAGAAATTATTTATGCCTTTCGTATGCAGCATCAGTCGCCAGCAACAAATTCCACCCAGTATTTCAAAATGCATTTACGGACCGTTACCTAGAAGCTTATAACAAAAGTAGGTTCGATCCACCATTCTACGAAAGAGTTCGAAGAAATTTAAAAGATCTACAACTCCAAATTTCTGACCTCTTTCCTTCAAATGTAAAAACTCCACCTCCCTGGTTAATCATGATTCCCGAAATCAATACGACGCTACTCCAATATAACAAATCAGATACATCACCCACTGTAATCCGACAGTCATGTTTAAAGGAACTCGAGACTTACGAGAAAAGCTTTTGCATTTATACAGATGCCTCCAAATCTGCAAATGACGTAGGAGCAGCATTTGTCACTCCATATTCCTCTTCCCAATTTAAATTAATGCCAGCCACTTCTATATACACAGCAGAATTATATGCAATATTACAAGCCCTCATTCATATCAAAAGTACAAACCATTCTTCTTCCGTCATTATCACAGATTCTCTAAACTCCTTAACAACAATCGGTCAACTATATACTAAGAACCCTATAGCCTTACTTGTCAAGAAAGAACTTGCTGCCTTACAAGAATCTGGTTCAGAAGTCAAATTTATGTGGGTTCCATCTCACACGGGAATACAAGGTAATGAAAACGCAGACCTCCAAGCAAGAGAAGCTACCAAAAATGATCAAGCTATAATAGTGTCAAAGACTATCTGCAGTGATATAAAACAGTTCGTTAAAGAAAAAGTGATTAGTGCGTGGCAAAATAAGTGGAACTTATCGGAATCTAAATTAAAAGAAATTAAATCGACAGTGAAACCGTGGCGCCTAGTAAACTTAAAAAGAGCTGACCAAGTCAAAATTTCTCGACTTCGATTAGGTCATACCAATATTACTCATAAGCACCTAATAAGTAAAGAAGACATTCCAGTGTGTGATTACTGTCACGTCAATATTACTGTTAAACATCTCCTAACAGAATGTGGAAAATATTCAGTTAACAGACAAAATAACAATATTTCCAGTGACTTAAAAACAGTATTAGGTGAACATTTAAATACTAAAAACTTAATTAGATTTCTAAAAGAAACATCTTTATATAATTTAATAATGTAGTAACTAATGTAAACTAATGTCGCTAATGACCCAGGTGGTTGAAGCGACTATTATTAGTAAATAAAAAAAAATGTCTTGGTACGTTCACTTCATGGTTTATTAAATAGAACAAAAATATTCTATTATAACTACGGCAAAGCTGATGGTCGAGTGAAATGATAGAGAGAATCATTCTCTCTCCTGTTACTGACAAAGAATGTAGAGCGTAGAACCATTTTAATTAATTTCGAACTGTTTGTCCTTGTTTTACTGTAGTGTTTTGTACAATTTTATGTTAAAATTCATGTTTATCACATTCTACGCTTGCTGGATAACCCAAATTTGACTAAATGCCCCTGAAGATGCTATAGTAAGCAAAAGTACTTGGGCAAGATTTGATTAAACTTGTGCTCGATATTTGCCTTGATTTTCAAAGTTCATTTATTCGAGCATTCAACCTCATATCAATTATTATACATTTGTTTACCGATGTATTTTGTCTGATGATGGATAAATTAGTGTTTATTAACTACTTAGTAACACTGTAACGAAGATTAAACACTGACATTATTTTACTTACCAGCTAAAGTGATATAGTTCAGATCTCTATAGTTCATTAAGTCGAAGGAGATCAACAATTGACCCAATATTCCTGAGATGGCGCGACCTGCCAATATGGCGGCTCTCGTGTGCGAGGTAACTTTTTGGTAATAGTCTGTATGCACTTTGGTGTAAATATATGAATAATAAGCAACTTCTGTTGCGCAAAATGTTCCGTAGAGAGCCTGAAACAAAACAAAAAATATTTTGGTAATGTGTTGCTTCCATGAATGACATTTATTCTTTTTTATTTTGACAAATCAAATCCCGATCAATTGCTATGAATTATTTGCGGTAAATATATGCAAACAGTAAGATATAATACAATTAAGTATAATAATAATTTAGTAAATTGTTATAATTTGGTATAGAGCTTGGTCCAATTAAGATAATGCAACATTAGGTTTATATGTGAGATTAGAATATTGTTATCCTTGTTTCTACGTTTGTGAAGTAAGTATCAGATTAAACTGCAATATAAATGTCGCTAATTTTAATGATTTATTTAGGAGTTTGATTCATTTATTTAACTTAACACGGAGGAATAGAGCTGTAAGTTATTTATAAAATTACAGTTAGCAATTATTAAATGTATGTAATGTACTTATATAATTATACTTTATAATTTTATAATTTTTTCCTATTATAGACGATTTATTTCTATCTTCTATTCTGTTCGTATGACCCCCATTCCAGGATTCTGGAACCCCGTACCAGCTTACAGGTCTAAAAGATAAGTACTATACGCCTTTGTAGTCACTCGGTAGTCTTTGAAAAGTGTTTGCCGTTTGAGATCCAATACTTCGCAGTCATGCAAGATATGTTTGACAATATCAGGTCCTCTGCTACATAGTCTCCATGAAACAACCCCATTGTACGTAGGTATCTCTTGACTGGCGCATGTCCAGTAAGGAAGCCTGCGATGCCTCTGAGGTGATTCCTGCTTGCTTTACCCAGTACTTCAGTCCTCTTAGGTGCAATAGCTCTATCATTGTCGTGTATTTCCCGATGAACTGGAACCCATACCAGTGCGATACTATTATGTTCCGCTCGCCTGTCGAATTTCTCACGGTATTCCCACACTAGCCTAGAGTCCACCTTAGGGCTTGTAAGGATCCCGATTACTGATTACTAGCTGTGCATATATTGATTAGCTTCAGTTCGAAAGCGCTCATGTTAATTTCTCGTGCACGCTGCAAGATTACAAAAATCTCTGTCTGAATCGTTGGATCATATTTACCTAATGCAATAATGTCAAAACAACATATAACAATGTCGATTTGTTACGTAAACTCTAGAAAATCATTATTTATCTGTGTCATTTAATCACTTAATAATTAAACATAATAATCATTTAATAATTTAACAAAAAATTTATTACAAAATTAAAATGGTTAAAAAATATAATATGGTGGGAGTTAGTTTCAGTTGGACTTACAGAGATGAACAGATAAAAAATCTATTACGACAGACAATCGAAAGCATAAAAGTAAACAAATCCAACAAACAACTAAATATAACAAAAGCCTCAAACTTCCTCAAAGGAGGAAATTAACAAATGGCAAAAAAATCAAATTAAAGGATAAAGAAGTAACTACGATCAACAACAGAGAAGAATAACTAAGGGTAGTAGAAGAGTTCTTTCTAGACATAATTATACAGAAGTCGACAAAACCATTTTGAGCAACTAACAGAAAATTTAAAAAATTAAAAAAAAAAGAGTAGTCAACCAAAGATCAGAAGAGATGCCTGATACATCAACAGACAAAATAAGAAACGCACTGAAGAAAATGAAAACAAATAAAGCCCCGGGAGAAGACAATACCGTTATAGAAGCTTCAAAGATTGGAGGAGAAAGAATTTTAACTCTCGAGCGGGCGCGCCCGTGTATTTTGTACACGTCCAATAGAAAAAGTCGTCTAAAAATAGAAGTGTCGTCAATCTGGAGATATCATCGAGTCTATTCGTCCAGTAGAGATCTGTCGTTCGAATAGTTGAGTAATATTTTTTGTTGCAGCTGAGTTTTGTGAGAATTCTTAGAAATACGAGAGTGTGACGGTTTTGTGTACATAATACACCGCGCGCCTTCTAGTGTAAGTATTTAATCCATTAATTATTTTACTTTATAAAAAGTTGTAATTCGAAATTAAAGTCAACGTAACTTTAGTTTTACTTTATTTTAGGTTGAACAGGACATTGTAACATAGTTGATAAGGAATATAACGGCTACGCTGAGAGAAAATCATGTAAGAATTTAGTTGCATTGTTATATTATATGTGTGTTACTTCTTTTTATTTTTGCAGGACTAGAAAGAAGTTTTTAACTGAGGCTGAGTTATATAAAATTCTTAATGAAGACACAGAAACAGAAACTAGTGAAATAGAATATTCCGATGAATCTGAGACAGATGAAGAAATAATACACCACGATGACCACAATTCTGAATCTGAACAAGAACAGAATGACCACGACAGAGCCAGTAACTTCGAGGATAATACTGCAATAAGTACGACTGCTTTCGAATATTTTCAAGGTACAGATAAAAAAACTGCATGGCGTAAGATTCCGCTGTAGTCGCAATCAAAAATTAAAAAGAAAAATATTATCAAAATACTTCCAGGACCAAAGGCAGCGGCTTCAAAAGTGACCTCAGAACTTTCAGCTTTTGAAAAAAATATAGATTCTGATATATTAGAGAACATCGTACAATTTACTAATTTGTACATTGATAGTAAAAAAAGAATCTGTTCAATATAAATGAGAACGAGATATGAAACATACTTCAAAAAGTGAAATAATGGCGTTACTGGGAGTGCTTTACCTCCTAGGCACTAAAAGGCTAACCATACTAACGCACTTGAACTTTGGACATCTGATGGAACAGGTATAGAAATTCTTAGAGCTGTAATGAGTTACAAAAGATTTTTATTTCTGTTACGTTCAATGCGCTTTGATGACAAAACAACAAGACATGAACGGAAAATATATGACAAACTTGCACCAATTATAAAAATATTGGACGCATTTGTTAGTAACTGTAAAATTTCCTATAATCTTGGTGAATTTATTACAATAGGCGAAAAACTAGAGGGATTCAGAGGACGTTGTAGTTTCATCCAGTATTTGCCAAATAAACCAGCAAAATACGGTATCAAGCTGTTCATTTTGGGCGATGCACAAACTTACTTTTGTGGCTCGTACCGACTATCAGGGAGTTCTCAAAGTACGGATAGGTCCTACTTTGTATATGTAGTATGTTGACACAATTTATTTAATAATTAACTGTTGATATCTTTCCTTGGATTTGGTTTCAGAATCTAAACATTTTTCCTTATCTCTTTTCGTTTCTAAGGTTTCTTAATTTTCCCTTTGAACAACAAAAAGTTAAGTGGTGCCCTTTTTCTATCTTATCTTAGGTAATTTTACCCATCTATCTTTTTGTTTATTTCTGTATATTGTCTAATTTATCTTATCCTGTCCTATCTTTACTTATTTCGTCCGTTGGACCCATTCCCGATTCCAAAAGCTAGTTCCACACCCACGATTCGCTCTCCACCAACCATCTGGCTGTTGTCCGTAGTCTCTCCATTGGTGACCCTTCTAGCACCATCCAAAAAAGGTCTCCGAGGTTACAGTATTGTATGTATATTGTATGTATTGTATGTTAATCTTTGGAGCTTGTATTCTGTCTCGGCGATTAATGCGGCGTCGTCTGCATAAATATTTGGATTTCTTTGTTCCCCATTCTGTAACCATGACCTTTACTTACTGCTTGTATTATTTCGTCCATTATTACATTAAAGAGAAGTACAAGTGACTCTCCCTGACTCCGCTTTGTACTGGTATACACTGTGTTAGTTTTCCATTTATCTTTGCCTGTATTCGATTATGGAATTAGATGTTTTCGATGGTTTGGCGTTTGGTATCTTGCAGTGCAATATTAGTTTTTGTATTATTTTTGTCATCTCTAGGGCTATACTTTCTCCTCCGTATTTTAGAAGCTCGTTGGTTTTTACAAAATTTTTACAAAAACGTTTTTGGTCGAGAACTGTTTTTATTCAGTTAAAAATTTTCTGAATTTTATTGTTTAGTATTTAAAATTTTATTGTGTTTGATTTTTTTATATTAAAACATATAATTAAGTATTTCTATTTTTATATTAAGTTGCTTTTATTATACTTTTTATGAGTACTTCAAGAAACATGTTAGGTAAAGTGGTCAATAAACGTTCTATTATTTTTCAATTTAAGCCATACATTACCTGCCGATGTTAAAAAATTAGGTACCGTCGAGTTATTACTTTTTTTTTGATATTCTTTTTTGTGAAATTAATTTCCAAGCTAATTCCCATATTTGTCAAATATTTTTAACAAATTAAACCGAATATTTACACCCTGCCAGTTAATACAAAATTATGTTACCGTAAGAAAGATAAAAAAACACATTACTCACGTTACTGTAATTGTTTGTCTCCATTATCTAAATAATTTTATTGCCACTTTAAGTGGTTAACAATTACATCATTATTGGTAAAATTCGACATGTAAATATAATTGTTCATTGTAAAAATATTTACTAAACAAACGTGTTAATTGAATTTGTTGACGACGGTAAAGGAGTTGTTTAAAAAGGAAATTGATGGAAAAAAGTTGCGTCTTAAACTGTAATAAAATAACGTTTTTTAGAACAATGTATTTAATTTTATCCTAATTTAAATAAATCAAGTGGAAATTCCATAAACTTTTTCATCTATCACACGATAATAAACGTTTTCTTCGAGTAAATACAAACAATTTCAATACAAACACGTTCCCTGTCGCGCTACATCCGACTAGCACCAGCTTATTTTAATGGGTATCATTGGTCCGATCGGATCCGTACAAATATTTAATCGGATCAGACCGCTGGTTTAAATTATTGTGTATTTTTTTACACTGAATAGACCAGCAAGGTTTCATACAATAGTTCTTTAATAACAGTTTGAGTAATTTGTAAATATAGCAATTTGTGGCCCCGATCTCAAAATACTCAATATTCAAAAATGGAAAATGTTACTTATTTGCTTTTTTTTTCTAAGTAAAAGAACAGATGGACTTAAGATAATTATACTTTTATGAAAACAATAATTCTAAGTAGATCGTGTGGTATATCCAAAAAAGATCATATCAGGAATGAAAATATTAA